AAAGAAATTTAATCGTTTTTCCGACATTTCAAAGTGGCATGGTTGCAGCCTTCGCCGTGTGCCCTCTTCAATTCGGAAAAATTCTGTAGTTCGGAAGTAGTTGTGTCGTTTCAGGATACAGTTCAGCCGACAGTACACGTAACTGGAAAACCGAACAACATATTCAATTGTCCAGGACGGAACCCACGTCTGATAATATGCTCGTTCAGTTAGAAAATCCTAACCTGTACTGTGGCTTCTCCGGCGGTCCCTGTAGTGGCTGTTGTCGATCATCATGTCGTACAACGACATTTTCTACTGCTGGTGCCATATACGAAAACGGAACACTACACAACGCACATTTCGTAGCGAGCGGCGTGTCCAGCAATGCAACAAGATCAAAAAGTTGGTCATTGTGAAAGAGCTCCAAACGGCGACTTGGCTGACATCAACTTTTTCTACAATAAAAAGGCATTTCTGTGTTATGTTCGTGCTTCTTTGATCATACAACTGTGCAACAAATTGATAAGCAGAATCTTACTTGATCAGCGGTGCATTCCGTCCATTCCTTGTAACTCTGTTGATGGCAGTGCGGAAACAATTTCCTGCTTCAAAGCTCTTGCGGTCTGTCGAGTGCCTCTCCTTTTGTTTTCTGTGCAGCAGTCTTATTTTTTCCAGAGAAATCATAGGCAAATGATGTTTAGAATCGAGACGATTTTGAAAAATAAATAATTGTGAGTGAAGCTAGTGATAGAAATGAATTTGGTTGAATTTTGTTTCAGTATTTAATTAACTGTTTTATTAGTGGGAAAAGAATTCAATTAACTGAAAGTTAGTGAAATAACTTTGCTGCAAATCATTTAACTGTTCTGTTGTTGCGAAATGTGTAATTTGATTATAACAGTGTTGCTAATGCAAAACAGCGCCATTCTAGAGGAATTAGGTACACGTGCTGGTAGTGTATAATTGCAAAAGAATTTTGTGATGAAAGCGAATTTGGTTGGAACTTGCACTTCAAATTGCATTACAAAACAGTATCGTTTGGGAATGTATGTCTAGCTGAAATTACATGTATATTTCGGCGTTGAAAGGATTTATTTTTGTTTCGATAAGACTAAAATGAATTTTTAGTCTCGGTGGAACTATGGGTCTTTTTTATTACTTGAATTTTTGCTTCCACGAATATGTGGATTTTCCATCTCGGTGAGATTATGGGTGTTATGTTATGAGTGTTTTATACTTTTACAACTGTTTTGTTATATATTTCGGTGTCGATAGGATTTATTTTTGTTTCGACAAGACTAAAATGAATTCTTAGTCTTGATGGAAATATGGTCTTTTTTTATTACTTGAATTTTTGCTTCCGTGAGTTGCGTGGATTTTTCGTCCCGGTGAGATTATGGGTGTTTTTTACATTCACAACCATCTTTGTTTAATTTCTTTGAGTCAAAATAAACTAACTGAGTTCATCTGTGCGCACAGCACTCCTAGGCTGCAACGGTGACGCAGCAGACGAAAATGGAAGTAATGGATTCTAAAGATGAATTTATCAAGAGCAAATGTAACATCACTGATAACATCTTCAAGATGGCGCCTAACAGGGGTCCTGCATTTAACAGCTTTTGGCATAATATACTTTAGAAGAGGAACACTCCAGAGGAAAGTTAATTGTTAGGCTAAGGGTCCTGAGCTAGTGAGCAATAAGGAACTTATACATGTCTCAGTTTCACATTCCGGAACGGTACAGCTGTCCCAATAGTTCTCTCCTCGTTCATTCCAATCGGATAACTCGATGGGACATGAAAAATGACTATTGCTGACCATCAGTGTAATCGCACCTCTTAGGTTTAAAGGCTCTCTACTAGGCTATGATCGTCTCTGTACTGTCATTCATATTCGTCAATAAACAACACGAGAAGCGCGTTGCCACACTATCCGTCCATACAAGTCCCATTCGACAACAGTCTGGCTAAGGCAACTTATTCATCCTTTTTGTAGGAACGCTGAATTTGAATTTGTAAGGCCGTACGTGGACAACGAAACACTACCCTAAAATTTCAGCTTTGTAGGCCCCCCCCCACCTCCTATTTTCTCTGCAACCCCTCC